GAATCATTTCAGCTATCATCAGTAAATAAGCCCCACTTGTCGCTAAGTTATTCTCTAACCGTATGAGAGCAGCGCTTGGCTCAACCTTTTGACACCATTACAGCACCTTAGAGGGGGTATTGGATATTGGGTGAAACTGTAGTTTTCTTAGCGCTTGATCTCTTGGGTATCACCTCTGAAGCTTCAGTTCGATTCATTCCATCTCACTCCATTCTATTTGGTCACTTGTTTGATTTCACAGTTCATCCAGGGAGGGGGTGGGGCATTTCGCAGTTCCGCCGATTCCTTTGTCGTGTTCATTGCTTTACAAGAAATAACAGGTATTGTTTACAAGTGCTAACAAGTAGTTTCTACAAACTTTGACTAATATCACGTCTTGGCTTCACAAGATATTACAAGACTCTACTTGATGACTCAAGACGACAATTAGATGTGATGGGAGTGCAAAATGCCACCCCTAAGCCGAACTGCACTCATTTGCCTTATTTATCTCTTACTTGCTCTACATTCGACGCAGGGTTCGTTCCTAATTCATGGAAAGTTTTATGCGTCAAATCGAACAAACTTAAGGTTCGCCAGCAAGAAACATGGGCCGATTCGACGGTCGAGCAGTCATTGTGACTGGTAAGATTTTAGATAAAGGCGCAATTAGCCTGTGAAGCGTGGGAGGGGAGGGGGGGAGGGGGCTCTATGATTTCCTGTCAATGTCCCGGTCTTCTGACACTTAAGAAATGTTATTAACGGGCAAGCCCTTGTTCGAAAATGGTGGTCTGTAGTCTCAAATACTAATGACAAGGTGGTAAATAACAGAGTTGAAGAAAAAAAATCCAAAAATCGCCTAAAGTGCCCCATATGGAATCCTATGCTGTAGAAAGGTACCCTGCGTGCGTATAGCGAAGAAAGGGCCGGAATCACAGCTGTTGGTGCCAGGTCCTCTAGAAAAAGAAGAATAAAGATAAAAGGTCTAAAAGAGAAATCAAAACCAGGCTTATGAGCGAGTTTTTTCAAGGGTCATCCAATGGAATTGGTCGAGCAACTGCCGTCATGTTTGCCAAAGAAGGTGCGAGGGTGACGATCTGTGGTCGCAATGAGAAAACCTTGAATGTCAGTTTCATTCGAATAACCAATTTGGTCCTAACTCAATGGTTCAGGAATTGTTTCTAAAATGTTAGTTAGCTCTTTACTTTTTTTTGAAAATTGAGTTTAGGAGTCCAAAGATGGATGGTGTCGTAGGCAAAACGGCGCGAGATGGGAAAACAGTTTGCTAGTTGTCCAAGGTGACATCTGCGAGGACGAAATAATGAAGGGGATCGTCAGTGGAACAATTCAAAAGTTTGGGAGGCTGGATGTTCTGGTATGATTGACTAAAACAAAGATTGAGAGGTGGAGCTGTGGAACTAAGGAGTAGCGTAAGCTAACGTAAGAGGGTTAGTTACTCGATTTTCCTGCATGATAGAGGGATGTGCACGCCCTCTTCGTTCATCTGAAATTGGCTATGAGACTTTGCTAGTCTATTCAGCCAGTGCAACAGGGTGATTGAGGGCTTGATTGAGTCACATCGTAATAGCACCCCGCATCCTGCCACTCCCCTCCCAAATCTTGCAGGTAGCAGAATTCAAACAAAGGAAAGTGCTCTCGTCAATGACTCGAACTCGACTAAGAACAATGTAGATGATACTGTTGAACACCCCCAAGTAACCCTTTCCCCCATTTTTTCCCCCACTCCACTATTCCACAGTCGATTTTGAGCATCGGACGAGTGGCGAAGAAATGAGAGAGGGACGAGATACTGCAGGGCCCCAGGGGCGTAGACGAAGAGGCCACCGATGAGGAGGGCAAAAATCACATTGTTGGACACGTCACGACGGCGCGAATATTAACCAGCACAAGGCCCTACTTGCGCTGTGGGCGTTTCTGTGTCATATGGGCGGAGGCCAAACATGCGAGGCTTCTGAACTTACTCACTTTATACCGGAGAAGAAGGAATTTATGAACACGCGCGCGGAAGTAGTGGCTCAAGCTAGCGGCTGAGCCAGCAAATCCGAGTGGCTGCACATCAAGTATTTCGCAGCGCCATGAATCTAAAACGCTAGATTGGAAGTCGCTACTTTTCTTATTGAAAACTCAGTCAAACAAGACCGTTCTCTTATCATTTAGTGTCCCTATTTAAGGTCAGGCGTTACCAGCGCAAAAGATCAAATAAAATAATGACAGTTTACGCTCGGCCGGCTCCTTAGTCGGGCACATTTTTGCAATTTCGCGGAGTTCTTTCCTTGGTCATGTCTGTAAAGGTTTATTTTGGTCGGACCTGTAAACTCCTACAGCTGCAAAATTGTTTGCGTGAACCATTTGGCCACAGGACTTGACAGTCTTCACATGATGGCTTGTACATGAAACTTAGCTGAGTACCATTTGCTGCCCACACCAAGCCGAACTGCGCCTGACAAATACCCTGTTTAGTGTTCTGCGGCTCTGCCAATTAGCCTACCCACATTTGGTGAAAAGCCAAGGTGAAATTGTGAATGTGAGCAGTGTTGCCGGTTTGAACAACGGGACAGTGAGTGACGTCATTTTCACGATTTTCTATGTAGACCGTTTTAACGTACAAGCATATACGTATTTAGGCATTACCGTTTCCATTCTACAGTATCTCAAAGGCGGCGCAGGACCAACTTACACGAAATCTCGCCATGTACTTACATCAAGAAAGGAGTACGAGTAAACAGCGTTAAGTGAGTCACAAAACGAAATGTCTCTATGGATGATGTTAAGAAGAGTCCTTCCAGCCCTGGCATTATATCAACAAACATTGTGCAACGGCAAGGGCTTTCTGATGAAGCTGTGAAGCAGGTGGGTGTGAGCTGTTATCACCGAGGTCACTCGGAGTGTGTCAACGGCCCGTCGTTTTCGGCGCGGCGTCAACCCTCTTCCAACATCTGTTGAATTGCCGAAACCGCAATAATGACCACTGCATGAACGAAGAAACAGCCTCAAGTCTTCCGTTCATAGGAATTTCGATGGATAGTGCTTACGTAGTTGGGGGGGGGACTTGTGGGCGCTATTAGCTATTTCAGAGTTTAAAGCCAACCAGAATGCTCTTTATATTCAGGGAGAAGAACTAATAGGTGCATCGGAATCTTGTGTCCCATGTGGGCGAACTGGAACACCCAATGACGTAGCCGAGGCGATTCTGTTCCTTGCTGACAGGTAAGGCTCCTACTATATATAATCCGCTAGGTATGTCTGTGTGTGTCTGTCCGTGTTGTGTGTTCGTGTGTGTGTGTCATGCAAATTCAGATAGCGTCATCCCAGTAAGCAGGAGGACTTTGGTCTCCAAGATATGAAACAATGCATGGGCACAGGAAAAAACTTACTGGTGAGTGACAGAAAGTCTACACCGAGTTATCTCAGAGTGCGTCAGAAGGGGAGGGGAGGGGGGCTCACCGAGTCCATAACGCATCTCACAGCAGCAATGGGACGTTAGTTCCAAGATATGATACAGGGTATGGTACAGGAACATCATTGCTCTTTTCACACTATTATCTCTATCACCTGTGCTTCCATCAATCATCGATTCTCGAGGAGCGCCTTGACTTCTCGCATTCGTCCTGAACGTTCAAGAAGTTGCCCCAATGGATTCTGCCTCGAGGCGACACGATACCTTCCTTGCCACTTCGTTCACAGGCGTTGGTCACGAAGAAAGTCTGACCAATCGCACAGGCGGTCGTCAACGCGTACCTCCACTCTGACTCCTGGAATCCAAACGATTGATCGCTCTGCGTTCCAAGCGATCGCTTCGAAACGCATGACGCGCCCGGCTCACCAGATCTCGGAAACCTTGTCAAATGTGGCGGCGTCTCTGATCTTCGACGTCGGGCGGAGTGCGGAGCTCCGGATTCCTCTCTCGCTTACGTGTAGTGAGAAATGCTGACGCATCGCCCTTCCTTTCTGGCGCGCCTGATATAGCGACGCATTGCTCACTCTCTTTCGGTGAAGTCCAAGTCTCTGAGACATAAGTCAAGGCAGGAGGGGCCGCGGATTTGAAGACGCGGACACTGCTATGCTATGTTGGGTTTGGCCTGGTGGCAAAAAAGTTATAGTGGACACCAGCCGATGACCACCACACTGTGACCATAATCTTTTTTCGTGAGGATTCGGCTTTGGAAATTGCCTCGGTGGTTCGTTGGCATCCAACCACTTGTCCGGAACGGGCGTCTCCTGTGATCGATTACATGCATTCTCCTTTTCATCCAGTGACAAATCGGTCCAAAAACGGGTCGTTTCTGTTGCGCAAAAGCAGTGAAGAAACCTCGAGACGTGCCATTTTCTGCCGGTCACTCAAATTGTGGGGCACCCAGGTTGTCGGCTTCTTCATCTTCCCAATGTTTATACAAACATTCACGAAACAGGTGGATTTCGCCAAAGCCTAGCTTTATCTGCAATTTCTTCGAGCTGCTGGGATGCTTCAGCCTCCACAACGCCCTTCAAATCCTCGTCAGGTATTGCTTTAGGTCGACCGCTACGAGGTTCACCTTCAAGGCTGAAATCTCCAGAACGAAATTTGTCGAACCATTGTCGCACGGTGCTTTCTCCAACACTAGTGGGCCCCCACACCTGGTTAATTTGTCGAGCTGTCTCGACTGCGGATTGACCCAATTTGTAGTTGAAGAAAAATATCGTCCAAGTGCCCACTCACTATTTATAAATTGAGCATTGGGCTTCAAATCGCGCAAGGTCTCCGATTAGTGAGGCATAGAAAGGACACAGTTACAACCCAGTTGAGTCAGGCTGCTGATGTGGTAAGGGACTGGCCAATTACCTCCCCTCATCAAACAGTGGGAGAAAGAGTAGCCAACGCCGGTTGAGTAATACAATGCGGATCATATAGGGCGCATCCGTTGAAAATTTCTGGGGAAAAATGATAGCTGACATCACGTAAGAATATTTCATAATTCCTGGCTGTATTTTTTTTACACACGGAAGGTGAGTTAAGTGACTGTATGTTGTGGCAACAATCAAAATTGCTGGTTAACCAGTGGAGTGAGGAGGTCCTGTCGGCGATCGGTTGTAGCATGCAGCCTCCTCGTGTGTCGCTCACTTCGTATGAACAAAGCAAAGATTACAATTTATAGTTTAAGTATCACACTTATTCTCTACATGTTCGTCGAAAATTGATGCGCCCGTGCTGATAATTTGGACATTTTGACCGCATACTAGTCGCCTGAGGGTCAAGAGCGCCTGGGCGAAGCGGGCGACCGCGCATATATTTGGGATACTGGAAATGTTGCCTCAGAGTGTGCCCTCCTCCCCGCCCGGTTTGCTCCTGCTCAAAGTGCACAGGCACGGAAAGCTACAGGTACGGAAAACTGAGACCCACTTTTCAATTCTCATACAATGAGAGAGACTGTGCAGCGGTCTGACATAAACCTTAAACCAACCTTGGAGAGTCGGCAGCGGGTGGAGTGGAAAGGCGGGAGTGTGACTTTGGAGTCCATTCATGCTTATTTATAATTTGCAGTTCAATTTTGAAATTGTTATTAAAAAACGAGCTTTCAGAAGGAGGTCGGGTTTCATTATTGGTCATCAACTGGTGATCGATGGTGGATCGTCGCTACATATGCCGCTAATCGCTGACGGGTATCGAATGTTTGCCGCGATGGAACCACAAGCAGATCTGAAAGCTTAAAGACAGCTCCCGCAATAAAAGTGTCATAGATAGTAGGGCTCTTTCAATTATGAAACAGTAGCTGATAAGTAATTCCCTGAAGAAGAAAAAAACCGGAAGAGTCCTGATGAACACCATAAACAAAACTGCTCCCTGACAGTCACACCGCGGTGCAATTTCTATGCAACTCCTGGCACACAAATCCCTTTATCAGATCTCCCAGCAGTGGATATCATCCAATGCGAAAGAATACGAAAAACAACAAAAACACCAGAGAAAAACTCCTGAAAAGAAGGAATCTTTCAAGAACTAGTTACAGGGCACATCGTTGTTAGGGAGTCCTCAATTGGGGGGTGATATGACCAAATATGACCAAAGTGGAACACTCTCGCCGTTTTGCAGCTTCGAAGGGTTTAGAAGTTTCAGCGAGATGGTAATTGCTCTCTAGCATGGACTATTAATATAAACCAGCTCAAATGCGATGTACCCCCTCCAAACCGAACAGCGTCGTATCGGAGTTTCAAACATGTCCGGTTGGAATTTGGTACCGAGTATTTGGAAAGTAAAACAATTTATTCTCAATGAAAGTAGCTGTCATCACAGTAGTTAACAAGAATCCAAATAAGCTGTAAGTACCCTGAATGTAGTGGCGATTAAGGCTACCACCTATCAATTTAGACTTTTCATCACCACGTTGTCCGAATTTTTGCTGGTTGTGCAAAGGAATTTATGGCCGGTGAGGACTTTCGGACACCATGCCAGCGTCAGCGGAGCCAGGAATAGCGAATGTAAGGCGCCAGCGATCAGGCAGCACAGGTTGAGCACAGCAATATATCGGAAGACGGCCACATTGGTGAACAGCAGTGGAAGAAACATCATCGAACCCGCAACTGTGCTCTGAAATGAAAAATATTTCGGTCACACGGGAGGCAGGGGGGCAAGAGTGGAATAAAAACGGTGTAAGATCTAAAAGATTTAAATAGAGGAAAAGTTTATATTGGAAAAATCCGTCGCGGTATGAGCACAAAGAAGGCCATGCAAAAGGCCGCTCTGGTCTTACACTTGTCCTCTGGACCAGTCATTGATTTTACGCGCAAAGAATCAATATTCGCGCGTAAAACTAGCGGTCTTCATGTCCCGAAACGTTACACTGAGAGCGTTATTACTTCAGAGCACAGGCCGTCGGCCAGTAAGTCATGTGAAGTAGCCATACTGTGTCACGCCCGCAACTCGGATCTCTTGACCTGATTTCGAGACGACACGGTGCACAAATGAGTAGAGTTATGTCTGCCCACTTGTCAGTGGCCACACAAAAAACAATAATACGACAGCTGTTATGGAGCAATTCGGGTTGGTGGGGGCACATAGTGGTGCTCAATTGAGCTTGTACAGGCTACCTTGTGGACTGTTAGTTCCTGCGAACAAAGTGGCTCACTTGAGCACTTACGCAACTTCACAGGGGTTTACATGTCTGATCAACGTCTGACCTGTTAATTAACATCAACTAACGAAAAGAACTAGCAAATGTGCAAAATGCCCCTCCAGTGCGCGCAAAAACAAGGAACCATCCAAAATGCAAGGCTTCTTCGGGGTAAACGCAGCCCTGAACTAAATGTTGATAAAACTGACTTACCATAGCCTCCGGAATGAATACTTTCTGGAATGTTCGGGTTAACCGATTCGTTTCAGCGTTTTCATATTCAGATTCCAGAGCCTGAAACGAAGGGAAATATCAAGCTTTCCCCACATTAACTTTAAATTGGGCCAGGGCACATCGTTGTTGGGGAATCCCCAATAGGGGGGGCCAGGAGGGGGTCGTATTTGGTCGCCAGGAGGGGGTCGTATTTGGGCTGAGAAAAATTTATTTTGATAGTTGATTTTTCTCGCCGTTTTGGCGTTGTGGGAGGGCGGTGACTTTTGGTGATTTTCCTGTTTCATGCGTACTATATGCCCCCCTCCCCCCCGCTCGACGGCTCGATTCGATGAGGAAGGACAGAGGGCTGGGGGAGGGTCGTACCAACTCCCAAAAAAAGGGGGGTCGTATAGAGTCGACTAAAATCCCCAACCAATGATGTGCCCTGAACTGGGCGGAGGGTGAGCAGTGGCGGTAGGGATTGCTCTATGGACAAAGAGGCGTTGTTACCATCCACCTGGTCCATAGAATGATCCCCGCTCAAGTCGATTTGAACAAATTAAGTTTTGGCGCAGTTCGGCTCGGTGGGGGCATCAAATGGTACTCAATGAACCTTTACAAGCCACCTTGTGAAGAATTGCAAACTTTTGTAACCAAAGTGGCTCGAACTACTGAAGTGCAAAATGTCCCTCCCAAGCCGAACAGCGCCCTGAACTGTGGATGAATCACTGTTGAATACCTGCTGAAAGGCATAGCAGATGTGAGTTGAAAACTTCGCAGCAAACACGGATATGACGATGAGGAAAGCTGCCGTGAACGGGTTAAGCACCACTCCTATCAGTGAGGAAATACAGTAAGATTCTGCAATCACGAACATTCACACAAATGCCAAAGAAACAAGCCCAGTGTTCTCAGTAAATACCTAAAAAGACCATTACTGCGGATCCGATAGCCACGAGGGAAGTGGCGAGATTTCCAATCAAAATCACACTCATTATGGCATATCCAGTCAGCACGAACAGTGGTATACTGTATTGGATGACGTCATAAATGTGATGT